TCGAGTATATTCTATACTGGAACTATTTAGTATGTAGTTTATAAGTTACAGATTTGTTGTATAATTAAGCCAGCTTCACTCTATCTTTAATTCGACTTTGATGAATTTGTATATATATTTTGCAAAGAAGAATTGTAAAAATACTATAATTGAACTGAACATTGAACCAACTTGGTACTCGGATATTATTTTTATTCAATTTTTTGTTTCATTTATGTTGTATTTTCATTTATATTCTACAAAACCGAAATTTGAGTCAAACTAAATTTTAAGTTCTAAATATTATTTGATGTACTACTTCTGATATTGCATTAGCTCCTGTTTCTGCTAGCTTTTACTATCCCTTTGGTTCATTTACTTTGTCACATATTCCTTAGTTACTGATCTAATCATTATGGATAGAAATGCATCTTAATCTTCATGTTTGAACCATCTCTGCTCTTACCTTAAAATTTCTGGGAGTGAATTTTCAATTTCTACTTCTCTAGTAATTAAGTGAAGGAACAAGTATTCGACCAGTCTTAAGAACACAGGCCATGCAGAGCCGTGTCAACATGAGGTCAAAGACAATGTGGGCAGCAGTCAACAAAGGAGAGAGACCAGATGATTAAGGTAGGTATTGAATGGCGAAAAGATATTTCTACATGATATAACTCGAGAATTTGATATCTACCTGACATGCTTAAAGGGGTCGTTTGATTTTCGAGCTTAATTCATAATTGAGGTTAATAAGTTCATGAAAGGTTCAAAGTTCTACATAAATATAAGCTGAATCAGGTCATTTTTCAGTTGATTCACCAATTATAATTGCCTGGTTTGAACTCCAACAGCTCTAAAGCTTGACTTATTTGTCATTAACACAGTTGTTTTCTTTAGGTCCCATTACTGTCTGTTTGTCTTCTAGGAATTCTTCAACCTTGATGGATTGATTAATGATATCATCTACCCAGTTCAGGTCTTTAATTAAATTTTGATTATTCAACAGCCAAATTAATTGCTCACTCACCACCCCACAATCTTGATGAGCCAAACAGAGTCTAATAAGCTCTGTTTTGGTTTATGTAGTCCCAACACTTGCGCACACTCCATATGCACTCTTAGTTATATTCTCTTTCTTATATGTTTTGTTGGAATAAACTAATTAATAGCAAAAAATTAAACACTGTAATTTTTTAGTGTAAAATAATTAGAAATTTAAGAGGTGAAAGGGTCAAGTTCATAACCTTTTTCCTGTTTTTTTTCCCAGAAAAAAAATATATGTTTTTTTTTTCAAATCTAAAGAATTAAAAAAAATTATGAATTGATTATGTACTCAAATTCAAATAAATTTTTCCACAATTATAATTATAAAAAATATTAATTCATTCTACGATAATCAAATTTTTTTTAGATCAAATTCTTTTTATGGGTTAAAAATTCTACTTCAATTTTTTTTTTATTTAAAAAAAAGTAGTAATTCATTTAATCAAAAAGTAGAAATTATTATACATTTCTGATTCTTATATATTTCAACCTCATAACAAACCATATTATTTGAATTTCCCTTTTAAATAAAACCCATAAAATCAATTTGAAATTATTAAAAACACAGCACAAACCCTAATTTCAATATAATAAACTTCACAGAGCACTAGAATTGTCTTCTTCTTCTTTTTTTTTTTTTTTTTTTTTTAAATGGTAAACGTGTGTTTTTGTGGATCAAACTGAATCATTCAATTTTATTATTATTATTTTTTCTGTTGATTGTCTGATTTTGTGGACCCAATTTACTTTATTGTTTTCTATGTGATAATAATCACAATTTACAAAATTGAGAAAGATGCCATGTGCTTACCATTCATTGACAATGGTGCGGTGCGTTTTGAGCTCAGCAATAAGCACCATCAAAATTTTCTTTTTTGATTCCGATCATGTTTTATTTTGAATTGCAATTCACTTTTTCAATCCACTAAATCAATTTTATTGAATTTTAGTTCAAGTTTTGTATTTATAGAAAAAAAAAAAAAAAGTAATTCATGATAAAGATTCGAAATCAATTACACACAGAATCCGTAAAATTTGATTCAAATTTTTAATTACAATTTTATATCTGTACGTGTCCGATCGTAAATTTAATCTATTTATTATTACTAACTATTGTTTAGTTAATAATTTATAGGTCATTTTTTTTTATAAAAAATTATGAATTTAAATTAAATTGTATTTTTGTATTTATTTTTATTTAAAAATTATTTTTATTACATTATAATTAGTGTATATAAGTTACTCGATTAACGAACGAATATTTATTATTTAAGGTGAGGTTTTTCGTGTATAATATGTTTGAATTGTAAATTTTTTATTGTACAATCAAATATCAACATATTTTGACCTAATAATTCCTTAAATTTTTGTTCATGTTAGAGAGTTATGAAGTCAAAGATTTATACAATAAGATTTAACAAATGCAGAACAGCACACAAAATGTGAATAACAATGAATGCATGGTAACTCTGACAAGCATCCAGACAACATGCACGAGGATCAGGAAGTACAGACACACACACACACACACACATATATATATATATATAGATTCTTCATATATATATATACACACACACACACACACACACACATACATATATATATATATATAAATACATTCGGCAGATTAACAGAATCATTTGAAGTAGGATTGTTAAATTCAATGCATGTGACAGGCCAAGAAAGTCATGAAAAACAATATTATCAAGTCAAAATTCTGGGTTGTACGTTAGCTCGGAAATACAACGGAAGCCCTGTTTGAAAGTCTCAAGTATTTTTGTAAAAGCGATTCTTTAATACCCAAAAAATAAAAATGAGGCAGAGGCCCATAGCTTAAAAGACTGGACTTGAATTTGATAAGAAGTCTAATGGGAAATTTGACGACGAAAGAATTATTTCAATTCTATATAAAACTTTATATAAATTTGATTTTTATTATTTTATAATAAAATAAATTATATATGTAACACCCCAACTCTTTCCTTTTTTTTTTTAATTTTATTTTTTTTATTTTGTAATTATTATATGAATATAATAATTAATTATGTAATAATAAATTAAATTTAATTTAGTTTAATTTATTTTAATAGAAATAATAATAATAATAATAATAATGAGTAAAAATTATTTAGTAATTTAATTAAAAATAATTTTAGAAAAAATAGGTAAAAATTTGGGTTATAGGAGTATTTTTGAAAGAAAAATTGAAAATTGGGAGTTAAAACGTAATTTAAAAAAATTACATCACGTCAGCTGCTCGATCAGCAGTCCCGGCCAACCAGAACGCGCTGCGTGGCAGAGATGCTGATGCGAGAGGCCACGCGGAAGGGAGACACGTGGGCCATCCGCGTGCGCGCGATCGAACAGCTGAGATCCGTTCCCGCGCGCACAGACGACCCAGATAAAAAACGCGCACGGACGGCTCAGATTGCACACGCACTGACGGTCCAGATTGCACGCGCATGAACGACCCAGATTGACTCGTGCACGGACAGCCCAGATTGCATCGCGATGAACGGCCCAAATTCATTTCCTATTAAATTACGATCGGATGGCTCAGATTGAATCGCGATGGACGGCTCAAATTAAAAGCAGATGGTTATAAATAATCTCATCCGCACACAAACCCTAACCCTGGCTGCCAGAACCCCTTGCCGGAGAAGACAGCCCATGTAGCACCCGGAAAGGAGGAGGGAAAAAAAAAAAAAAAAAAAAAAAAGGGGGGGGGGGGGGGCACGTCAGCAGCCACGTCAGCAGGCCCGGTCAGCAGTCCCGGCCAACCAGGGCCTGCCACGTGGCAAGATCGCGTCACTCCGAAAGGAGCCACGTTGGCGATCCGCGTGGGTGCGATCCGACGGCCCAGATCAATCACGCGATCGGACGGCCCAGATTCAAACGCACGGACGGCCCAGATTCAATCAAAAACGAACGGCCCAGATTAAAACGAAATGAACGGCTGTGATCAAAAGGCAAGGGGTTATAAATAGAACCTCCACACCAGACCAAAAAACCCTAGCCGCCAGCCGCTCGCCGGAGAAGACGAACCAGAGGCCGACCGCCGCCACCCGCCGCCACTCGCCGCCGCACCGGGGAAATTTCCGACCGCCGATTGAGGTAAATTTCATACCCCCGACTCGTTTTTCCCCGCTGATTCCTCCTATGGCCAAATCGAGGCCGAAATCCCGGCCAAACGGCCGGAATACGCGGCCGAAGCCCAGCGGCGCCGCCGCGCCCCCTCTCGGTTTTTGCCTACGACGAGGCCCTTCCCGGCCTCCGTTCGATGCAATTTTTATATCACCGTGATCACCATTCTTTTCTCTACAGGTTGACCGGAGCCGAATCACCAAAACACGAACCTCGCCGGAGAGCCGCCGGTAAGCTCCGTTTTTTCGTGATTTTTTGGCCCCCCGAGGGCCCTAGGGTTGTTTTCTGACAAGGACCAATGCGAGCGTGGCCGAATTCGGCCGAAAACAGCCAACCCGAGGCGACTCGCCGCCGCCAGCGGCGGCGCCGTCGCCGGAGCACGGCGGAGCCGCCGTGCCGGAGTTGCGATTTGGGCCGAAGGAGGCCCTGGGCCTAATT